GCACGGATCCATAGCTGCCAGCGCTGCATACTGTCGTAGGACGTTCCCGCGGTCGCGTGCGCCTTGCCGCGGAACTGCGCGCAAGATCTGCGCCCAGCGCTTCGGATCATAACCTCCTTTCGGCAACGCTTCTCTAGTATCCCGTCTCATCTGGATGGCGATACCAACGGTATAAACAAACTGGTTTGCGCGTGACTACGTCGCCGCGCCAGCCTACCATTTCAAAGTTGAGGTGGTTGTGTTCGTACCTTATTGTCGTCTCTGTATAATTGTTTTGGACAAAAATGGGTCGACCCAACAAGTATTTTTCGAAAGATGACCGTATTCATGCAAGACGGGCAAGATATAGTGCTAATATTAGTAATATAGCAAACAGCGTTGCGATTTCCGAATCTATGGACGACTGCCTGTTTTGGACGACCGACTAGTTTGAAAGCGACGACGCGTTCGCCCGCTACCTTTTGGAAATTCATGATATGGCGTCCTGCGATAGCTGTACCACTACCAGGTAAGGTTGTCAATCATATAAGACAGTATAATTTTCGAAATCGATATTATTTTGTGTATGTAGCATAATTTGAAGTATAAAACGATATTGACATGTCGCAAGTCATATACTGAGTACGGTACGTACTGTACTGAAAACGTTGTACGTTGCATGTTGTAGCCTGTAGGTATCTATTTTATATTCTCACTTATAGTTATATAGCTCTCTAGCCTATAAACTAAGTAATTATTAGTTTACTGTAGCCACACGTTACCATTTTGCTTTACATTACGTTGTCTAGTTATGCTATGAAATAGTTGTAGAGTCTAGGTAGGCTAGGGCTAGCCTACTGTAGCGATTCTTAACCAGGAGTAAATAAATCCCATGGCTGGGGTAAATAAACCAATTACAAAAGACTAGAGTGCAATTTGTTAAGCCTACATCACCTATAAAAATTATTTGGATTTGCTGTGACAATTTCGATTGACATTTAAAGCATTGATGGACTTTGAAACCTCAGGTTACAAAGGTCTTGATTTCTGGGCCAACCTGCAAGCAAAAATCAAGCGCTATACATTAACTTGTATCTCAATAGTCGGATGCACATTTCCCATGCATATGGATGGTTATGACTTATGACATACAAATGAATTACAAAAAAAAACATTCAAATTAACAACATTTTTTTTAATTAATAGGTCGTTGAGCAGAAGTGGTGAGAAAAGTGACATTGAGAGCTCTCACTTCATGCCACTACCAGCCGAAGGAATGGAAGTTATTGCTTCAGGTAGTACCAGTGAAGCAACTTCAGGTAATTGCTGTTGCATTCGACGTTTATTCCAACGCTTGGTTTTCAAGTGATTGAAATTGTAAGGACAGGCTGCGTGACACGTGCGCGTTACAGCACACGCTCATATGTCAAGCATTAAACTTTGTGGACATAAGGGGTGGGGATATCTTTAGTCCCAATCTGTGACAGTTGGGGACAGTTTGGACTAGTTTTCATTTTAGCTGAAGTTGTTTTAATTATTAATTTTAAAATAAAAAAATAAACAATAATACTTAAA